GTAACATGTGATAAATATGGGAGATAATAATGAGGTCAGTGTATATTTTGACTCATTACCTCTCAATGCCACCTTGTTGGTTAAAGATGCTTTAACTCAGGGGAAACTATGTCCTCCTGCAATGACAGCAGAACGTACTATCCAGAAATATCCCCTACAAACCCTCTAACATACCTACTTTTTTTCTTAACCTACCTTTCTTTAAAATAAATTTTTGGAATTATTACATTATACACTGTCAGGAAGTTGCAAAGTAGTACATTGAATTTTTCTAAACCCAGTACCCAGCTTTTATCATTGCTAACACATTTCCTAAGCACAACAAAACCAACAGGAGGACGTTGACTTTGCTACAACACCATTACCCTAAATTCAGCTTGCCATGACTTTTGAGTCTAAACATACATGTCTTTGTGTATGTTCATACATATATTAATGCATATAATTTATTTCATGTGTAGATTCGTGTAGTAACAGTCATGAACTGCCCAGAGAAATGTTCCATTTCTGGTCCACTTGTCAAATGAATAAATTTAAAAGTAGAGCTATCCAAGTCATTTAAAAAAATTCATAGTGAGAGGCTCAAATACCAGGCAATTATTTCTCATAGTTGTGAAGGCAAAGAATGTCAATATCACGGCCTTAATATAAAGAGAGAAGCTTAGTCCTACCTCAAATGGATATACCATGGTTTGTTGATACCCATTGGAGGCCTGTACATTTCTGAAGAGAAAGAGAGGAGGAGTGGATGGGGAGGGGGAGCAAAGAGGAGGAGAGGAGGGAGGGGAAATTGTGGTTGGGATATACAATAAATAAGTAAATTTAATTAATAGAAGATTAGGAAGATAAAAAAGAATGTCAACATCAAGAAGAGAGTCAATTGGGTTTTTCTGAGGGACCACGGACGAGTACCTACCTTCATGTTGTCACCTCTTACAGTAGAAAAAGAGCTCTAGTCTCCTGTCCTTCTCCTAAGAGCCCTGTGATGATCTTCTGTAAAATCTAAATTGTAGAGCTCATAGATGCAGAGAGTAGAGACGTGGGTATCGGGGGACCAGAGAAGGGGTCAGGCAGCCGTTGGCCAAGGTGTCTGAACTTGCAACTATAAGGCAAGCACGTTTTCTGACCTAATGTGGAACATGGAGCTATAGTTAACACTGCATTGCTTCACTTGAAAGCTGCCAGAAAAATTGGTGGGTGCCCACTACAACAAACAAATAAATACATTTGTGGTGGAAACTGTAAGAAGATGAATTTCTTAACTAGTTTTACTGTGATGACTATTGCATATAGTTTGTACTTTTGTATCCATAGGGTAAAAATAAAATTCTGGGACAGTGACAGTAACCCAAATTCACATGCAATGATGTCTTCATATAAAATACCATAGTGTGTGCATACATCCCTGACCCAACCATCTTTACATTTAGCATTATCTTGCAATTGTTACAAGAGCAAAAACATTGTACCTACTGCAGAATTTGATTTTTATTATTATTTTATTTCTGAGGTTTTAATATAATTACATGAATTTTCCTTCCCTTTCCTCCCTCCAAACCTTTCCATGAACCCCTGCTTGCCTTCTTTCAAATATGTGGCCTCTTCTTTTCATTATTATTAGATGCATACATTTATACATATATGTATTTAAGTGTAGGTATAGGCATATCATTTATATTCCTAAATACAACCCAGTGGGTTTGTATAATGGGACTTCCTTGTTTGTCTCAGGGCTAACCATTTGCTCCTGGATGTTCAGTGGGAGTTGTCCTTAACTCTTATCACAGAAAGTTCTCTTTGCAATGGAATTAGTTTCTATACTGTATTATTTTGGAGAATAATGATGGGAAAATCTTGTATATTTATAGGCTATAAGCAATTTTGTCCAAGCATTTCCAGCCCATAATTGAATGCAACTATAAAAATAAAACCTCGGTGATACAAAAAAAGGCATATTTTCTGAAATATATATTTAGAATTGTACATTGTATTCTTTAACTATCTACAGCTATTATGTCTCGAAAAGCTGAATTAAATGATCCCAAATAGGTTTTTTTGTTTTTCCTGCTTGCTTGAATGAATCTACTTCAAGAAATGTGCCAAGTGTTTATTTTCCTTCAAATTAAAAGACATTAAATTTTAAAACAAATCTTAATTTATCAGAAAGCAGAGGAGTAAATTAGAAAAGGTATTTTTTATTTCTAAATAGGTGGTTATCTATTTTACCATGTGTAATATCTTAGAACAGAACGGAAAGGAAATGCCCATATCTGACAATGACTGACTGAATAGGGAGAATTTAACTTTAGGGTCAGGAAAATTTTGTTTGAAATTCAATAATCTGTGTATCAATTTGACACGCAACCAATACATAGGCAGCACGCCTGACAAAAGCTGCAAAGAATTTTCAGAAGTAAGCAAATTAGGTAGTAAAAGTAGAATCAATACAGGGAAAATTACCTCTATAAATAGAACGTGTGTGTCACAAAGGTGTATGCTCATTGCCCTCCTCTGGTGCTGTGGGAAGCTGGTGGAACCTTTGAGAACTGTGGCTTGCTGGAAGCAGGTTAATGTTATGTGCCCTGGTTCTGGCTGCTCACCACTGAAAGGACAGTATTCAGGAAGTGAGGTGATTGCTGATTGGAAGGTACTGGATTTAATTATGATCTTCCTTCTTGAAAAAAAATAGGGCAATTGTCTATCTTTGACTCAGGAGTGCAGTAGGCTTCTGGAGGCAGGCAGAGGAGGTGATGAACGACAATGGCCAGAAAAACAACATCCTGGGTAGGGGCTTCAACATTCACTCTTTTTCTAGCAGGAGTCACCCACATGGCTTGGATGTTCTCGAAGCAAATTTCCACAATCTTAAAACTAATTTAATGATTTTTTTCTAAAAATGAAATCTCACAAAAATATATAGGCTTGTGTTAGTTAGTGAGCAGAATTAATAAATGTGCTTTGTTATTATCTGAAAGTCACCAGATGTTCAAATCCAAAGAAACAAAATTTAACAGATAAAATTTGATTTGGTATCTCTTCATAATTCAGAATCTCAGTCAAATCAGGATGGAAATCATGTCAGAAGAAAAGGTAAGTGCAAACAATTCCAAAGTTAGCAGCCACTGTTTTTGCATCACTGGGGGTGCACACTTGAAGAGGATGTTGGAAACCCAGCCCCTCATCTCCCTGCACCCTGCAGCTTTGCAGAGGTGCCAGGTGCAGCTCTTAGCTGGTGTGCTTTTGACAGTGAAAGGCGGAATCACAACTTGACAGACATTTCACAGATCTGTCTGTTGTGTGGGAAATCACACCTTGATCATATCTGGCTGTCCAGATTTCACAATTCAGTAAAATAAAACAGGAGCATGGCATATCCTGCCCATGACCCCACAGGATCTTCTTCTAGCACTCAGCCTTGTGCAGTGGCTGCTAACTCCAACTCTTTCCACACCCATGCTTCATACCAAAATCATAGGACAAAACCCATTCTTCTCTCATACATGAAATAATTCTTTAAAGAGAAAACCTTTTTTTTTTTTTGTTCAACATCCAGCATTCTCCATAAAAGGTCCACATACAAAATTAAAAGTCAAAACCTAGGCAAGGAGCTGAGTTCAGAACAAAGAGCTCTCGTGTCGCTTGATGTACTGAGAAAATGAGTGCCAGAGTAAGAGCAGATAACTTAAATGGGGTTGCAAACATTTTCCTGGGTGAGTGATGGATCCATTACATTCCTGTCACCATCATCCAATCAGCCAGTGAAACAACAGCAGTCTAGAAGAGAGAGAACACAGATGTGCAGAGAGAGACAGACAGACAGAGACAGACAGAGAGAGACAGACAGAGAGAGACAGACACACACAGAAAGAGAGATTGATTTACTAAAAGCAGAGTTGAAAAAGATCAGGAAAGCATTGTGCATTAGAGGAAAACGATGCAAAGGAGAGCTTCTAGGTAAGCAGAGATCGGAGGATACAAAGTATCACCATGTTGTCTGATGCCTGAAATCTTAATCTTCTCGTTGTATTTACAACATCTGAGGCTGGGTATGTGGCTCAGTAGCAGTGTGTTCACCTAGCATGTGCAAGGTTCAGAGTTCAAGTCCCAGAACCAAAAGTGGTGTTGCATAATATGTTACCTTGTCGATTTTCAAGTATCCCTAAACTATGTGCAGAAAGCCCTCCTGTCAGTCTTGTCTTTGTTTCTCTATCTCTGTCTCGCATACCCTGGCAAATGCATTTCTCTCGTATATTTAAAGATGAACATAATAATTTCTATTGCCCTACATTCCATGTTTTATCTGATTATGTCAGTACATCATGGTGTTTCTTTCAAAATTGAATGATTATTTTTTTGTTATTGTTTAAGGTTTTGCCATCTAGTTCACATCTTCTTGAGGAAGCTCTAACTCAATTTTGTATAGAACATGTAAGCTAAAAGTCAGCTATGATTGCCAGCATAATGTCTCATTGAAAATAGGAGTTGGCTGACTCTCCTGTGGGTATATTTTCAATGATACTGCTGAAAATTCCAGCAGGCTTTTACCCATCAGATTATAGTCAGTGGAATGCTTAGAGAATCTCATATATATATATATATATATATATGTATATATATACATGTATATATGTATATATCTCTATATAATATGTCCTATGTAAATGGATTTGCTAGGGAAAATAGTCGGAGAGCACCTAGTCTCAAAGATAGATCACAAATCAAAACTTGAGAGTCAACAAAGAATCAAAAGATGGTATTTGATGCAAGGAAAAAAATGATTTTATTAGGTCAACTATAACTGTACTTCCATACACAGTCTAAGAATTTATGAATAGGTAATCAACTGTTTCAAAAGACATTTGAATTTATATTTTGGTTATTCATTCATTTCTTAATTCAATAGATCTCGTCTTTCCAGAGAAAAGATGCAGAGGGAGATTAGTTAGTCTTACTAGGAAAGCACTATGTTAACTCAGACAATTCACTTATAATCAGGAAGTTCAGCAACTTGATCTGTAGATGGCTGATCCACAGATGGGCCTGTGACAAGAAGACTGGAAGTTTCGGGAAATCACATAGGTTGGGTGGCAGAATCTAGATCCATAGCCAGAGCAAGGGTAACCCCAAACTCCATAACTCACAGGTCTGAAGCCACTGAAGCCACAGCCTGAAGTGTAGAAGCTTCTTGACCCGTAGCCCAGGGAATGGCAACTGCTGGACCCAAAGCCCAGAGAGCCAGCATATGTGGTCCTACAGGGGCGGCAGAAGCTGGAGACCGTTGGGCGATAGCAAGGCCGCTGGCAGGAGGTGTGCACCACACGGGAAGTCTGGCATCTGATGGGCTGGAAGCAGGTCTGACGACAGCCACTGTGGAGAGAGGAGCCCAGATGGAAGATCCTGGGAGAGCAGAAGTTAGAGCTGTTGATCAGGTGGCGGGAGTAGGAAGAGCCACAGGAGGAGTAGGGGTAGTGTAGTTGACCCCCGTAGGATCTAGAGGAGAAGCTTCCGGAACAGCAGCTGTAGGTCATTTTGACAGATGTGAGATCAGTTAGGTGTCAGTGAGACAATGCTGTGCGTTTGAATGTCACGGTCTGAACTTCAAGTTATATATCCTCACATTGGGTGTGCCCACATGCCATTGGCTCCATTCACCTCACTCACCTTTCCCATGAAAATATTTCCCTGGGTTATTAAGTTTAATTTATAACACATTCATATATTAATTGCACTTTAATCACTTGTGGCATATAGTAAGAAGATGCTCGTCGTTTCTTTGCCCTGGAATTTGCTGTGGTTTGATTTTCAGTGTTATACTTTATTACATTCCCAAGTATCTTCCTGTAAGCACTCAAGAATTTACTGAGACTCTGGCCCAATAGAAGAATTACATGAACTCTTTCTTCATTTTATTGAGACACTAAAAGTACTCAGAGGCTATTATTCAAAGTCAGTTGTCCCTTTGATTTACCACAAGCACGTGTAATGGAATTCCTCAAATCCTGTATTTTGTTTGATTTATTCGTGTGTTTTAATGAGCCATTAGCTGAGCCCCCCCTCTGCCTTGTTGAGCGGGCAATTAAGAATGTCAGCTGTAGAATTTCTATCAATGATTTTCCTCAGCGCAGCGCTTTCTTATACCATGTTTACTTCAAAAACAATAAACACCACAATTTGGGTGGGACTTAAAAAGAAATGTCTTCATAGATTTTCTGATGAGCCTGCTTGGTAGCTGACAACTGTAATATTTAGCATGTGTGCGTGTGGAAATCTCTTTTGTTTCATTATTTTGGTAAAAGGGGACATTCTTAAATGGTATCATTTATGTATACTTAAAATGCAGTTTTAGGGATTACTATTTCTTTTCTAAAATTACTGACCAGGTTTTAGAGCTAACTAGATAGTTGAGCAAAGTCTGGCTAACCATGTTTTTGAATAGCCTAAACTGCTCTTGCCCCCCATCTCAGCGTGGCAGAAGGCTTACTCCTTAGCTGTGGCTTCCTTAACCAGAGCCAATATTCAAACTCTGCAAACTCAACTCTAATTTGTCTTTGAAAAGTAAACTATAATGTTTGATTATATTAATCTAGAAAAGTTTTATTTACCCTTCCTGGTAATATTTGCACTGGATAGTATCCAACAGGGGGTTCTAATGCCTCAGTTATTTTTGCACATTTCAAGAATAGTTTATTTTCTAGCCACAGACAGAAAATGACTGGAAAATCCACAGTCAGATTAATGGGGACACAGCTTCGTGTTTGCTTAGTGTCCATTCTTCTTCTTCTGAGCCTGACATTTTATGGGGCTTAACTAAGGGAGATGACATTCCCAACTGTCATTGTATAGCAGGCCCCTTAAATGCCTGGGAATTAACTTGCATTATGCCAAGCACGCATGCTCCTCAAAGCACTTACTTACTTTGTTTTATGAATATCTCTCCCAAGCAGAATCCAAAGGTGGTATGCATCACACAGAGTGACCTTGTGCCAAGCTCAGGCCCTCGTTCTGACTCACTTAAGTAAAGTACGCTGTGCTTTATGGACGGACACCTATTGAACCTCCCAAAGCAGTGATGCCATTCTCAGCAGGTGCCCCTCCTTCAAAGGTCAGCTGTGAACTGATTGACCTAGAAGTATCTCTCTACTCTAATTAGAAGTTATCACACACACACACTCAGAGAGAGAGAGAAAGAGAGAGAGAGAGAGAGAGAGAGAGAGAGAGAGAGAGAGAGAGAGAGAGTTTTCTTGATATCTCAACATTCTTGCTTTCCAAGCCAGTTACTGATATCAGAGAATAAACACTAGGATTACTTGGGTATAAATCAATCCTAATTGACGCTGCCTCTACCTATTTGTAATTACATTATTATTTTTCATTAGAGTTATGTGCACACTGGTAGAAATGCCAATAAACAACTCATCAATGCTAATAAATATGTCCTTCTGAATGGAAGTAAGGGCATGACCAAGCAATACAGCTTTAATAGCTCCGAAACGGATCCTGGAAACACTAAGGCACTCTACACTTCCTCTATACACAGGCAAGATGTTTAGGAAATATAGTCCCTGTCTAGATAAGAAATGAAAAATGCTACATCTGGATAGCATTCATTTTAGACTTAATGATCTATCTATCTATCTATCTATCTATCTATCTATCTATCTATCTATCCATCCCTCCTTCTCTCCCACCTTCCCCCTCTCAATATATAGTTATATATAGGCATGTAACTTTGAACATAATGTTGAGAGGGGGATAGAAGGAGATCTGGGGAGTGCAGGATAATGGGGTATATATCAAAGCACACTGTATATATTACGAAATGCTCAGAAAATAAAGAGCAATGTTAAGATGCTTTCTGCTTCTCTCCCTCCCTATTTACTAGTTTTTCTTCACCTCTCCCCCATGTTTGGAGAAATGCCAATATACTACATTAAAGGAAACACTAACACCCTGGACAGTGCTGCTGGTTGAAAGTTGCCTGGTATTTGAACTACTTTCAAAGTTGTTTCCCAGATAAATACACAAGCCACTTAGCCTTTCTAAATCACCACACAAGCCAGCCCTTTCTTATTGTAGAATTAACTATAAATTAAAGAAAAAACTTTCAAATTAAACAAAGTTTTGCAACAATGAAAAGAATAAAATATTTGTGCTCAAATCCCTGTGTATTTCCCTCATGTTCACTTTTATTTCCTCAAAACTGACTTCTCAGGGCTAGAGAAGCTTCTTGTTGCCCAAGCTATGGAGGTTCTTTCTCATAACAAATGCTTGCCCCCTGGGATATATGGGTTGAACGTTGGTGATGGAAGGAAGGACCCCAGGCAGAAGTCTCGATGCAGAGTCACAGGCCCTGCCCTTGTACTCCCTCCCAGGTCCATCCTGGGCTTTCTCCAAGGTCCTTTCTTTCTTTTTCTTTTTCTTTTTCTTTTTATTGAGAAAAGGAAAAAAGTTTCCGCCTCCACCCAACCTCCCATTTCCCTCCCCCTCCTCCCACCCTTCTCCCCCTCCCCCCACTCCTCTCCCCCTTCCTCTCCAGTCCAAAGAGCAGTCAGGAAAGTCCAACGTCCTTCCCCCTCCATCCATGTCTAGAAAGGTGAACATCCGAACTGGCTAGGCTCCCACCAAGCCAGAACCAAGCCCGTGCCATTGTCCTTGGCTTCTCATCAGCCCTCATTGTTCGCCATGATCAGAGATTCCGGTTTTATCCCATGCTTTTTCAGTCACAGTCCAACTGGCCTTGGTGAGCTCCCAAAAGATCAGCCCCACTCTCTCAGTGGGTGGGTGCACCCCTCGTGGTCCTGACATCCTTACTCGTGTTCTCCCTCCATCCGCTCCTCATTGGGACCTTGGGAGCTCAGTGACAGAGATCCAAGGTCCTTTCTAATTCTCCTTGGCACCTACAACTCCCCTTGCAGTAGCCGTTCTAGCTTCGAGCAGATTCAGTTTAAGGTCTCAGTCCCACTCCACACACAGTGTGTCTGATGTGAAAATGTAACTGGTGTCCAAGTTGCTCTTTTTGCACATCTGCTTCTAAGAGACTACACTTTCGTCAAGCAAACCACTTGAAGAAATTCAGGGGTCTGCATAGAATCATAAAATCTATAGTTTTCTGTAAATTAGTTCCTCAAAACTTCAGCATTTTGCTACAACTCCATCATTTCTTATCTCTCCTTGAAATATAATGGATTAGACATCAGAGCAAAAGTTCTGTGTAGGGCAACTTTAGTATGATTCTTTCTCAGTTTTTCAAAGGCATAATAAAAGTAACATATTTGTTTTTAAATGTACTCCCAGGATTTTATTTTACAAATATATATATAGATTCATACAGCTGATATTGCTGTTATTGTTTACTTGGTAATAATGGTGCCATATACATATGTAACTTTCATTTCATATCAAAACTATTGTAAGCACAGTTAAAATATGTGTGCTTACATATTTTACATTTATTTTTCATCATTATACTGTCATATTTAAGAGTCAGCTATAATCACTTAACACCTTATTATTAATCATAGGCCAATTAATTTCCGTGACTAATCCTACAAGAGGAGTACCATTTTATTGTTATTTTATAGTTGGAGAAGCCAAGACATAAACAGGTTGTGTAAGTTTCCTAAGGTCACCTTGCATAGTTAGTTGCAGAGATAGAATTCGAACCCAGATACTGAAATTAGGGCAGTTTGTGCAAAGAACAGCGTTGGTAGATACAGCTTCTCCCAGTCTCTACTATGTAGAGGTCTCCCACAGAAAGCACCACATTCTATGTGTTTATCAGCCTACTGCTTTTGACTTTCCCTGTTAAAGATTGTGCTTGTGAATGGGTGCCTGGATCTTCTGCTTTGGGTAGATACGTACATCAGCCTGAGATTACTGGGTGTTTGTGATTTTAAAGGTTCTGTTGTTGCTGACAGAAGGATGGGGGCCATGGACTTAGGCTGTCCAATTTGAAAGCTAACACTACTACAAACAACTGAGATTTTGTTCTTTTAGTCTTATGCATTTTTTTTCAAAACTCACCCCTTCCTTAATACATCTTTTAAAAGATTTATTTATTCTTCTTCTGTGCATGTGAACCAGCCAGCATGCATGTGGATGTTTATGCCTGATGCTCTTGGAGACCAGGAAAGGTGTCAAATATTCTGAAACTGGAGTAACAGAGTTCTGTGAGTGGCAATGTGGATTCTGGGAGCAGAATGCAGGTCCTCTGCAAGGACAATTATTTTTGTCTTCTTTGTTTCATGACTTTGTTTTCTCATATGTGTACTTTTCTAGTCACTTATTTAACTCTTAATTTTATTCTGTTTCTTTAGATATAATTCCCATGTAGTGAAAGTCATCATTGACTGTGTGTATGTGTGTATGTGTATGTGTGTGCGTGAATGTGTGTATGTGTGTCTTTCTATAGTGCTTGTGGGGTTGCATGTTCATAGATGCCAGACAATAATACCTGTCAAGTGTCTTTCTTAATCTCTCTTCATCTTGTTCTAAGACAGTCACCAAACCTGCGGATCATCAGTTCAGC